AGAGATCGACTAAACACAGACACAACATAAGATGGAAGTGAGGAGAACCTAAACAGAATGGAGTTTTCTCAAAGGGTTGAGAAAATATTTGATCGTATAGACCAAAAATTGGGAAATTTAATACAAATAATAACGGACAATGATCAGGACAAGGAAGGAAGAATAGAGCTACCAGAAGAAACAGAGAGAAAAGTGGAGAGAAATCAGCAAAAAAGAAAATAACAAAGAGGAGATGTTGCCAAAACAAATAGCGATTGAGGAACTAAAAAAATGAGGGAAATAATGTAAAATATTTTAAAAGGGAATGGGAGGAACAGGAAGAGAACTGGGGAAAAGAGGTAGGAGATGGAATGGATAGTTCTGGAATTAGACAGTGGGAAAGGGTAGAGTTGGGAGGAAAAGTTAGATTGCATAGTCAAATAAAAGACCTAAGGCACAAATATGGGAGGAAAACTAAAAAGAAAATAAGATTAAAGGTTCAGAAGTGGGTAAGAGATGAAGGATAAGAGAAAATAGAGTAAAATAACATTTTATGAAGATATTTTAATAATGTGTATTAATATCAGAACTATACAGGCTGGATTATTATTTTAGCAGTGTGATAGATATCAGGATAATATTGTGATATAAATGGATATGAAGAATGGGAAAAATAAATTTGACTGTACTACTAAATATGTATAAAATATGAATAACAATGGAAGTTTATAACTAAACAATGGGGGATTAGGGAAATATATATTAATATATATCTAAACATCTGTATTAATAGTAGAATTATATTAGATTAAAGAACTGGAAAGAATATGAACAGAAACACCCTAAATGTATAAATGATAGTGATTGATACTAAAACTGTACAAGGAGATATTTAAAAATGGAAGAATGATGGATAGAACTTTGATTTAACTAAGGAAATATGAACAATAAAATGGGTGGAAAACACGTTTTTGTATATTATAGCGATATGAAACGGGGCGAGTTAAAATAGGGGTAGAAAATAGTGGGGGGAAATAATAATTATATATTAATATGTTAAAAGGACAGAAAGATGGTTCAGAAAGGAAGGGTGTTAAGAAAGACATTATAAATAATAATGGAAATGTAATATTTAGGAATAATAAGACTATGTCTATGAATATAAAAGATAAAAATTTGATTAACAGCGGTGGATCCTATAGCACTGATGCATAGGCTCTTCTTATCATCACTCTCGCCAATCCATCGTTAACGATGGTTCCTTCCTGTACACTCTTAGTCAATAATTGAATTAAAAGACTTACAACAATTCATTTAGTGACCATTCAAATGTACAAAGGCACTGAAAAAAAGTGAGCTATGATTGTGTTTTTCACACTTATGACTATTGAAGCATCCCCATAGTCACGTGATTTACATTCGGATCCTTGACAACTCACATTTATGACGCTTGCATTGTCCCAGGGTTACCATTGTGTGACCTTCTGACAAGCAAAATCTATGGG